TTTTTTTAAGTCCTTAACTTACAATGCAATAACAGGGTACGCCGGTGGTTCTCCCTGTGAACACGCAACTCCCAAAGATAGACTGCAATGCAACACAGAATAGTAGGTATCTAGGGCGGCTTATTTGCAAGAGTACCAGGTGTGAGTGCACTCTTTTCCTTCTTTATATTTCAGGGCTCGCAGCAACATCGCTGGACCAGTGAAGCTTGCATCCAGCTGCCGAGTCCATACCGACTTTCGAAACTATGGAAAACGTTTGGAGAACGTGAACGGAACAGCTATTCTCCTGATTTTGGGAGGCATGCTGCCAGTTGGTCTCTTTCTTAACTATCCTGGGGTTAGTGCACCACCGTTTAGGTTGTAGTAAGCATGTCCAAATAAATTGCAAAAAACAAATAAACTAGGTGGACTTAGTTTACTGTCCAACCTAATGCCAGACATTAATGACCATGCTTTGGCGAATACATGATAAATGCATAGATGTTTGGCTACAAATTATAATCTCTATTGAGAAACTAAGGTTTAATTCAACCTTCTTGTCAGAAATAATAAAATCCTAAACAGAGTTATTTTCAAAAGTTAACTGGATCTTCCTAAACAGATTGACAGAACCTCGTAGAATAGCGTATAGCAGTAGTGAATTTATTCGCTCCACGTAGGCTATTACTGTTAAATTAAAGATGATATGTGATTTTAAATCCGAATGCAGACCAGCAGATGATAGGCCCGTGGATTAACATAGGAAGGCGCAAGAATGTTCCACATCTAAGATGTCACTGGAGAGCAGATTAGAGAAAAAAATCTAAAAAATGCGAGAAGCTCTAGCTAAGGCACAATCAATAGCATTCGGGCTAAGCGGGATTGCACGGTGATCAAGATACACGGAAAGAAAATATTTATCTGACAAATTATATTTTCTTGGTTCCACACTCATAATAAATTTATACGAATGAATTTATACATTTTCAGAACTAAATTCGTTTGCCGCACCAAGGCTATAATTAAAAAAAATTCTAGTCTCATTTGCGAAGATGCGAAATTTTAATAGTACCACGTTAAAAACATCCACTGAAGCAATTAAGCACCAAAACAAGTATGCATTTTTCACGATGCGATAGCAAATCAAAATAAACAGCGATTTTTTTTGAAAAAAATTGCGGATACCTTTAAATTTTTTCCGCAACAGGCAGCATTATGTAAACCAAACTTTTAAGCTCACAAAACTGACTGATATTTTGAAATGTATTCGAGACAAAAGTATTACCCAAGTGGGTAAGGAGGATGTTTATGACCTCCACCTAAGTAGGTCACGGGAACAAGAGCTGCACAAAATGCCCTTGACTTTGCACCGAATTCCAGATAAAGTAGGTTTAAGACTGACGTGAGGGTTATGGTTGAGTTGACTTGAGGTTTAGGTTTAAAGATGACGTAAGACTGAGGATTATGTATTGCAATGCCACCTGTTTTAAATTGACGGGGCCTTCCAGTTCCCTTTGTCCCGTTTAGACAATGAAACAAAGCATTCATACCCCAAAGTGAACCCGTATGATTAGTTGACCTAGAAAATTTGACTGATGAACCTGCTCTAGGCCAATAAAACGGCCTATGCTTATTATCTCCGCAGTGGTCCACAAAATTCTGCACTTATAAAAAACGCCTGCTTAAGTAAGTAAAATAGGTTGTCATGGATTATCTGTGCTTGCCTAAATGCGTGGTCTTCTGAAACTGAACCGCCATTTCCTCTTTTCTCTATTCACACACAAGGAGGTCATCAGCACGACGGCAGCGCTGATTTGAGGGGAGTCCAAGTTGGCATAAATTTTGCAATACGTCCAAGGATATTTCTCCACGTTGTCAAAAATAGCAGTCTTTAGCCATTACGAATTGCTTCTGATTTCCGGATTTTGTGCGGTTTCTGTGCTTATTTTATTCATGATTATTGGAGAACGTTTAGCATACTTCTTTCGTTCTCTAAACAAACATATATGTTTTAACTTAACAGCTCAATAAATATACTTGACGTAATAAGTTAATTTAAGCGTCATTATTTCTTAAATAGTATATCAGAAGGAGGCATCACCCTAAACGCATACAAGGTACTCAATTATGAGCATGTAACTCATCCCCACGATAGATCAACGAATGTCTCACTGTAATACATCTGACAGGTTTTGGAACTGACATGACGCGATAAATGTCTAGATCTAGAAAGTATGCAAGCTTCGTATTAACTCTATCCTCGTTGTCAGTCCTGTGCGGGTTTAGTGGCTGACTAAAAGACTTCAAGTCTCACATATACTGTGGCCTCTATAACAATTCCACTCAGCTGGGATACGAGCCGCTCCTTTCCAGTTTTTTTGTAAAAATATGATTCATAGTGCGCTAAAGAAAAATTTGTGGTACGACTAAACGGGTTGTTTAACTCTGTCGAGCACTGCGCTCGATGCCGCTTCCAGTCCTTTGGCCTCTGTCTTGCTACCGGTCCCAGGAGCTGTGGAAGACGAGAGCTCGACAGATGCAGTGTAACTCTGCGACCACTATAAAGGGATTCACGCGCAAGTCCTTATCTGCGTTTACATTAAATTAGCCACACGCGCTACATCTAGGCATGTGACGATAGAAATATTATTTATTGGAGACGTTAATAAGCCACTTAATAATTTCACGGAGTTATGTATGCAGTCAAGAGCAGTGCAAAATGAGGTTCTACTTAGAGCAAAGAAGACCTATCAACTTCACAGATTTATCCTCAAGAAATCCTTCTTTTTATGCAAGCTGCATATAACCGATTTCTGAATATATTCTGCCATCGATAATCTAGGAAAACGTATCCTCTAATTTAGTAGTTTTTTTCAAAGAAAGTGTAATTTACAGAAATGAGGGAAAGAGATACGATTTAAAGAAAATAGTATTCCGCACTCTTCAGCAAAAGCGTCCTTCCCTCACCGTGAATAAAATTGGACACACGAACGACATAAACTCAGGGGATCACAAACAATGCATAAAGATCGAACATTGCAATTGCTAACGTGAAGATGAATCGTCCTCGAATGGGTCGCCAAATTTAGGCAAACGTGGACTTCCTTCTAAACGACGCAATAGGCCACTTGTTTATTTTAATTGTACGTGCAAATGAAGAGCAGAATGTGATGACAACTCAATTTCACTAGCCCCCTCGGTGACCGATATAAGTAAAAAACAGTTATTTTCGAACGCACTAAATACTTCGGAACCGAATTTTCCGGCATTCACTATGGCAATTTTGCTTAAGTAATATTCGTTTAGAAAAATTCATCCTAGCATACCACCCAATGGTTCGTGCGTTCGGTCACCTATTCTGCGCACTTGTCATTTTTGCTGTAACAGGCGTGGTGGTCCTCTTCAAGGTTGAAATTACCCTGTAATAACATCTTACTGTTCAGGTAGATGCTACAGCGATTAATGAGGCCATCAGCACCGCTGTGACTGGAGCTGTGGGAAGCGTCGTCTACTCTCTCTTCTGGGGAAGATTAACTGGAGCAGCAATTGTCGGCGGGTCTACACTCAGCGCTCTTCTGGCCATTCTCATGTGGTCAACATTGTACAGCCTTTTACGAAAGTCACTGCTACCCGCAATCAGTTAGTTATTCTTTAAATTGGCTTCCGAGTTGAATGTTTTATTTTACGACCAGTAAACTGAAGACCATGCTGACAGAATATGAACTTTGTGCACGGTCAAAACTTCTTTAAAATTCACAATTAGAAAAAAAAGATTTGCATCAGCCGAATTATTCTTAGTTTATCACCCTCCTAAAATCCATCGGCTCCATTCGGTCAGCATTGTATTTTAGGCGGAAGCTTTTTAGATAGAAATTACAGTCATCTATTGTCCAAAAATGAAATGGCGAATGAAGGAATTCAATGCTGTCATAGTATGAGAATATTTAAACAATTCTTTTAATAATATGACTGTTTCAATGTGTCTCATCTTAAGACAAAACGCATGGAAAGTTGGTGAAGGAAATTCTTCTTTAGATAATATTAATGTAGGTCAAAAAGCTTGCATTGAATTTGTTTGAAAGCATACATATGAAAACCTTTTACTCAGTGAAAACATAAATTCGCACTTGCCTTTTATTTAGTAGACTACGCATTTATAAATGTTCTCTAACGCTCTTGAGAATCAGAAAATGTTACTGACTAGCCAATTGTCAGTTTTGATAAGTTTCTGGCTATGTTTTGGCATAATAGGTCTTGTACACACAGATTAACTTTATGACAGGTAGTGATATGTCTTCGGTGGTTTCGTCGTGTAGAACGAAAAAATTGCCAAATCTGCGCAACTTCTAACTGCGTAACACGTGTCGCATTAATTTCTGAGATGTTTTTCGAAAACATGGGTTCTGATGGTGACATTTCATCAAGGAAGTATAAAAAAATTCAGGAAGAGAAGAACCTGCAAATCGTGCAGCGAAATTAGTTCAAAAATCAACACAAAATTAAACTTCCTTATTTCCGTAAGCAAACACTGTTTTAACGTCAGTGTGTGATGTACTTCAAAGAGGCACTGTTGAAGAGCTTTATTTAAACTTATACTATTTAGCAATTGGTTTTCTCGGTTTAGTATCAACGTACTCTTACTCGACCTGCATTAGCTCTGTGGTTTCTTGTGTGTCCCTTGAAATGGAAACAACGAACATGCTTTTTTGACATATAACCAGTTACAAGTATTTTTATTTCTTATTTGATTCCGAAAGGTTTTATAGTCTGGCATACTGACATTTAATTCAAAATCTATAGCATATGAAGAAGTCTTTTTGATATCTGCGACGACTGGATTTTTGGGCGGATTCATCTTGCCTGTCCTTATTGTGCTCTGCTCAAAACGCAATGACGCCACGGAAGTACAGCGCAGTTGGCAGAGGCTATTTGAAATGGACAACCCTCTGCGACCCTGGGCGGCAGTCTATGCAAAGTAAGTATTTTCTAGGTCAAAATGCAATGAAACTGGGTTTTAAACACCCAGGGTATCATTATTCGGCATCAGCGTTGTGTAAACAACATGTTAGGCAGATTTTAATGATTTATTCAACCCAATTGGGAATACGGCCAGCGGCCTTGGTGAGATTCCGATGAACGACAGCAAGGGGGAGTCTTGAGTACAGTCAATTCTCTAGACACCGAAAACCCTGAGTTTCATGCGAAGGTAAACAGTTGAACATTTTCATTCGCGAAAGGGTTTATCATTAAATGCTCGAATAAAACATCAATTGAGAAGAAAGATCAGTTAATACAAGCAAACATGCGATTCCCAGGGAGTAATTGAGAAGTAGAAGACGACTCGACCACTAGGAAAATAAGTTTATTCGACTGAAGTTTCGAAATATGTCCTGGATTCATCATGAGATACATACTCACAGAACAGTAGCAGAAGCAGTTTGTGTGTGCACAGGGTTCTGCCGTAAAATCTAAAGGTGCAGAAAAAATCTATAAATGCTTTGAGTGTGCGCTGATTCGTTGCGTCAGCACTGACCGTCTGGCCCTGCGGTGTTGGCATAGGATGATGTTGTGGCCTGTCTGTTCCCCACGCGGCGACTTGCACTGGCCAACTTTAGTCTCAACACCGAGTATGGATTGGGCAAATCGTTGCACTGGTTGATGGATTCGGGGCTGAGAATTACTTAAGTCATGGTTCACGGGCCCCCAATTCATCGACAAGTGCAACGATTTGCCCAGTCTATACTCGGTGCTAAGACTAAAGTTGGCCAGTGCAAGTCACCGCTGGGGAAACAGACAGGACATAATATAATCCTATGCCAACACCGCAGGGCCAGATGGTCAGTGCTGACGCAACTAATCAGCACACATCCAAGGCACTTATCAGTTTTTTCTGTACTTCTAAATTTTACTGCAAAACCCTATGCACACACAAACTGTTTCTGCTACTGTTGTGTGAGTATGTCTCTGATGATGAATACGCGGCAGATTTCGAAACGTCAGGCGAATAAACCTATTGTCCCAGCGATCGAGTCTTCTTCTACTTCTCAGAAGGATCAGTAAATGTTGTCACACTATTTAAGGGCCAACTTTGGGTGAGGACGCAAGGTGTCATTTTCTCGCGACGGTATGTTGCTGATCTGAAGACATACTCTACACCAGGAGGTTTGGTAGATTTACTTAATTTGAGTTGACCCAATTGTGAAAAAACTCAAGGCGATTGGGTCAACTCAAATGAAGCAAATCTACCAAACCTCCTAATAATTAAGTCAGCCTAGTAGTCATTCTG